TAAAGCTCTTTCCTGCGTGTGCATTGATGTGTGTCTGACTTGGCACATATGACAGGTTTTCAGACAATTAATGGGAAACTCATAGCAGAGAATTAGGGAGCAAGAAAAGCAATTTATTTTCAAACCTTTATATTTGCAAGTTAAACATCGTTAACCTTTAATATGACACCAATGAGACAGTTTGAAAGCCTGTGAACAGATTCTGCACAGCAGGTGTCAGCTTTGTGCACAGAGAATAACACCACAGTAGCCTATATGATTTCTACATTTTTTATGTTGTGTAATGTTTGCAGTACCTGGAACAGCAGACAATTAACAAAGTTTAAATAAATGTGTTCTGAAAACAACGTGGGCTTGGTAGACAATTAAATACACATACTTTAAATAAAACCATGCAAAACCTGCATAATATTGTGCATAATGTCATTTACAAGTCAGACCAAAACAGCTATGTCTCTTCTCATCATGAAATGATTTTAATTTAAAACTGTGATGAAAGGCAATAGGAAGTCCTTTGAGGAATATAGCTTTAAATTATATTTTATACAACAAAACCCATCTGAAATATATACAGTATGTGGCAAAGTTAGCAATGAAAGCAATGTTTGTATTTTCCTTTGATCAGACTGATCAGTCATCAGGGTTATTCCAGTCTGGTCTCTGTTGGTTTGTAAATTAATGACGGACAGCACAAACAGACACTTCCATCAGAGTTCCCAACAATAATCAGATGTGAGATCATCAGTATGAGAGTAACTGTTGATTCTTCAAAGCTGTCTGCTGAATGGTTAACAGAAACCAAGGAGCCCTGAGGGAACATGTTCATCTGCTGAAGATTTTAAACACACATACAGTTTTGTGCATAAAATTTGAGCCTTCCAGAGAAAGAGGAAGTTACAGAAGGGCAAAGAAAATCAGAAAAGCTGAGAAACCAACAGATTTCTTTAAAGTCAACCCATATGAGTTTATTTGAACAGCTAATACAGTAAACACTGGGAGTTGTAGGCATTTGGATTTTACAGATTTGTGTGCATGATCATGTGTGTCTTATGTCATTTCCAGCTTGTAGCACACGTTTAACTGTGTTCTGCTAATGATGAACTTAGAGAGACAAGCCCAGTAAAGCACTCTAATCTGAGAGCTCATGTTTCATTTTCTCTGCTAGAGTGCATCTGGACTCCCTCATGTTCAAACAGATTTCTCCTCATTCTCAAGTGGGCCCGGCAGGTCACAGGGATCTAACTAACACTGACGGGGTTTACTAGCACCGGGATTCCCAAACTTTTCCATGCCAAGATCCCTCCAACAACTTTAGCTTCTGGCCAGGGACCCCCTTGCAAGTTGACAATAAAATACAGCAATAAATGTAAAGAAATATCAACTTTTTAGAATGTTTTTTTCTCACTTTTATTCACTATTGAACAGCTGTAAAGCCGTACTTAATGTCTGCTCCCTCAAACTTCCTGTTTTTACTTGGCCAGCAGCAGTGTCCTCCATAGCAGGGCTGCTGGTCGGCTCATTTGGCCTTTTTTTTGTCATAAACTTGTTCATTGCTCTGCTAGCTTCAGACTGAACAAACTCTGTCACTATTAACCTCAGGAGAACTGCCACCTGTAGTTTCCTGGGTGATTCTTGCGAGTTTCGTGCTGAGAGAGGGAACAAACCCGAAACAACAACAAAGCAGAGAGATGGATGGTTGTAGCAAAATCAAAGACATTTTTGCCAAAAACTAAATACATCATGTAAATATCTCAAATATCGCCAATTTATAAATAAATAAATGTGCTTTAATTCCCTTTTCTGTTTTCATTTAGGATTATAAGAATGTCCACAGCATTTCAGTGTCAACAAAGATCAGATTCTGATCACATAATTGAATTTTTAAGTGGTTCACAAGTGGCTATTTTAGATTTCTTGTACACTGTCTTAAAATGTCAGGCACACTGGAGCTTTATTGGGATGTGGCTCACACCGGGCACTTTAAATTTTCCTTTATTTTCAAATCTAAAACTTGAGAGATCAGAAAGATGTGCATGGCAAAATACCTTTCATTATAATGTTGAAAATTATATTTGAAATAGTAATTGAAAAGCAGACAGATTGTGTTAAAGGAAAAAAATTGTATAGGTCTCAGGTTTCAGGCAAAATTGAATTTTGCCTGAAACTCTCAGACTGAAGAAGTCTCTTGGAGGAGAGACGAAACGTTTCATTARAGAAGAACCCGTCCAGAAGACCTATACAATTTTTTTCCTTTGATTTTTTACCTGGATTACTGAGTTGCATCAGGAGACAGAATGTGTTGTTAATATTTAACATTTTTATTTTAACTTCTTATGCCCAAGGGGTTTTCTTGATGTTTTTGCTCAAAATACCATGCCAAAATGTAAATGAGTGAATCTCAGAATTTATAAAATCCACTTAAAAATCGTAGTATCAAAATAAAGCTAACTTTTAGTAGATTTCAGCTGCTGCAGTTTTAGGAATATTAAGGATGGAACTTTTTTTTCACTCTCACCTGAATAATTTTTGCATTAGACAGTATATAATCTATTTAAAATCATAATGAAAAAGGCTAAAAACTCTTGGAAACCATAAATCCACACGTGGACATTACCTGTGCAATGATTCATGCTGCTAAAATGAACTGGAGCAAAGTTACAGAGGTTTTAGTAAAGAAATAATTTTGAATTTTGTCATGGTACCATTAATAAATGATAAGAAATCTGAAATTTTTAATTGCAAAAGTTATTTTTTTTACCTGCCTTAAAAGAATTGTTATTGAATCTTTCTTTTGAAAAATGATCCAAACATTTGATTGGTTGTAATTCTGTATGTCTGCATCCAGCATGTTGGCATTCAGGCTGTTTAATATTGGGGGTGGATTTTGATCAATATTGCAATCACATTGTTCACTAAAAATAGTAATTGCATAGTAATTAAATAATTAAAAAGTAGTATTTACTTAGTGCTACTAACTGCACAAGATCTTTAGTTTTCATTTTAGATACGTTTACAGCTGATGAAGTCTCAATCAGTCCTATTCAATATGGCCACCGCAGCTCCATTGTTTCTCATCCTAAAAGGATTTTAGACTTTAACAATAACAAAAAAGACTGCAGGCAGAGTGTGTTTCTTTAGGGAATGCTCTGTCTTTAATTGTACCTAATAAACTCTCCTAACTTCATTTGAATCAAGTTTTGATGTCTGATAGATGGTAAACGGTCTGTACTTCTACAGCGCCTTTCTGTCCAACCAGGACACTCAAAGTGCTTCACACTACAATCTGTGTCCTCATTTATCCATTCACACTGCTGATAAATAACAGAGGTTTAAAAATCTTCAGTGTTTATCACTGACCAAAATCAACATTGGACTTCAGCTGTCATTGATCCGACTCTTCCTGTTGGATCTGAGCCTCATTTCACCGACTTCATCAGCTGCTCAGCTAACGAGCCTCGAGCTGACCTGACAGTTCATCAGACTGGTTCAGGACCAGATTCTAGGACTTCTCAGAACCGTACATCTCCAGTAAACCCAAAGCGCTCTCTGTCCCTGTCTCTCTCCTTGTCTGTCCCTGTCTCTGTCCCTGTCTTTGTGCCTGTCTCTCTCCTTGTTTGTCTCTTTCCCTGTCTGTCTCGCTGTCCCCGTCTCTTTCTCTGTCCCAGTCCATGTCTCTGTCCAAGTCCACGTCTCTGTTCCCGTCTATATCTCTGTCCTAGTGTGTCTCTGTCCCTGTCTCTTTATCTGTCCCAGTAACTGTCCCTGTCTTTTTTCAGTCCTTCTGTGTATGTCCCTGTCTCTGTCCCAATACCTGTCCATCTCTGCCCATCTCTTTATGTGTCCCTGTCTCTTTCTCTGTCCAAGTCTATATCTCTGTCCCTGTCCATTTCTGTCCTAGTCCATGTCTCTGCCTCAGTTTATATCGCGGACCCAGTCCATCTCTGTCCCTATCCGTCTGTCCTAGCTCATGTCTCCATCCCAGTCAGTCTCTGTCCCAAGTCCATGTCTCTGTCCCCGTCTATATCTCTGTCCTAGAGTGTCTGTCCTAGTCCATGTTTCTCATGTCCTTTTCTAAAAGTAAAACTTGATGTGAAAGTTTCAGGTTTACATTTGATTTTATTTTTTAACTGAAAAATAAAAACAAAAAGTAAAACTGAGTAGAATCACTGACTTGAGTGAGTGACCTGCAGCTCGTAGACCCCAGCAGGACCCTCTTTGTAAAAACTGAAGACCCACAGAAAGGCTCTTGTATGGTTTCCTCCCCCTCAGTCTCCTCAGCTCCAGTCCAAGTGTCACTGGTTGAAACTGCTCGATCTCAGGATTTACAGCTCCTTCTGTTGTGAGCTAAGCCCAGTGGTTCAGAGAGGGTTCACATTGTTCCCATTAGACTTGCAGAGCCCAGAGTTCATACAATTTGGGGTTGGTTGCTGGTCCTACACTTTTCTATAAGCAGTCTCAGCAGATGTGGTCAGTTCCTGAATGATGACATCATCAGTTGAAGGGTGGACTTTGTTCTTCTCTCTAGATGGTTTTTTTAAGCCACCCTGTGTGATTATGTCCAAGTTTCCACCTTCAGCTCTTAGGACCGCAGTCCCAGAGGCCTACTCTTCACCTTCGATAGATCCTGTGCAATTGAACAGATTAAACTGGAAGTCATGAAAGCATGATATGAGTGGAGTGTTTTTGCCTTTTCTCTTGTTTTTATTGTAAACGGCAGCAGTAAACAGACAGTGACCTGCTGTCATATCAGCCATCTGTAACCCCTCTGTATCTAATTGAATGGAAGCTAATGGGTTTACGGACAACGCTGTCTGTATAATTAGTATGTTTTATTAATTAACACAACCATTTGAGGTCAGACTCCATTTATCATTTTTCATTGATCTGCCGTGTGTTATGTACCCTGAATATGCTTAATTAAGTGCTTGTTTTACTTCATATCATTTTTGTCAGCAAAAGAAATGGCTGTTATTGAAGTTGCTTTTTCTCTTCCTCTGTAGGCCCTTTCTCCAAGAAACAGAAGCCCCAAACACAAAAAGAAGAGCAAACAGTAGGAAGAGTGACCTCTGTAATGAGTCTCTGCAACAGAGCAGACGAGCTACAAGTTCCCTAAATATTTTGTTTGGAAGAAAACCCAGAGCCCACCTCAGTGGGAGCAGTGCTTCACTGAGAGGAACCAGGAAGTGGAAGGCGGAGTAAAGTCCACCGGCGCTCAGGTGGGACAGGATGGCAGTTTTGGCAGTGAGGCGTCAGGGTTTGGGCCTGCTGAGGGCCTTCTTGGTGTTTCTGGGAGTTTCTGTGCTGTGCGGCGTTGCATTAGGAACAAGGAGAGAACACGTTTCTCTGGATCACAGGAGCCACAGACACAGACATCCAGGTAGGACTGAACACAACATACTTTTTCATACCACATTAACCCCTTCAGGTGGACCTCATTTATTATATAGATTATATATCCCTGCTTCAATTTGCACTCAATTTAAATTTCCAGCAGCGTTAGCAGTGGCTATTGTTGATGTTTGTCGTAGGATGATGATGTCATGCTGGCTAATCACTGCTAGCATGTTTAACATTGCTAAATATAGTATTTAAAATCTAAATTCAAAATGTGTTCATTGAAAACAATATTGATAGGACCTGTGGTCCAGCAGTTTGAAGTGTGCCTCAGACACCAGCCATAACTACAAGTTAAATGTCTTATAGGGAAGCACCAACAGCAAAAGCTGCATTCCATGCCAAAATGTGAACTTCAACATTTAAGGTTAAACTTTTACATTTAGATTTAGAATTTAATATTCAAATATGTCTTAACATTTAAAGTTAACATATAATAATTTGATAAATGTAAGAACGGTGAGCTAAATAACAAAGATTTTAGTGAAAAAGTTTTAACATTCAAAAAGTGAGCTAAATAATGAAAAACACGCTAGTGAAATTTTTTAACATTTCATTTTACACTTGGCACCACATAGCTGTGTGATTTTTAATGAGACAATCTTAGTTTAAAACTCTGACTTGAAAGATGAAGGGCGACATTCCGCAGGCCTTTAATTTCCAATTAGTTGCTTCATTTCAAACACTTTCTGAAATATTTAGAAAATGTTTTGAAAAAGTCCCACTCTTCTTGCACCTCTTGGCAAAAAATAAAAACATTTGCACTGCAACAAACAGACTGAATGCCTCCCTCTGAGCTTCTAAAACACAATTTGCTGAAATGTTCATACAATCCACCCACTTCGTCTCAGCTGGGAGTTAAATCATGACCCAGAATTCAAAAACAGAACTCTGCTCACGAGGTGACTGCCCACTTTTAACTTTTATCTACTAAGGATAAAATCTGCTGCACTGATTCATTTATTTCTGAAGCAAAAAGCCGTAATGTTAAATGAAATGTTTGTTTTCTTCTGTCCTCTCAGGTCATGTGTCGCTGCACAGACACAGGCAGAGGGCAGGGAAAGAAGGGCAGGTTCTACATCGCTCCAAACGAGGATGGGTCTGGAATCAGTTCTTTGTTATTGAGGAATACACTGGACCTGACCCAGTTCTGGTGGGCAGGGTAAGGTCTTAGAGTTTTTGTTCGTGAAGCCGTTGTGTTTTGCACTTCTCTTCAAAACCAATTAGAACTTGAATAATCACTGAATGGCCACCATGCCCTGTGGTAACAGTAGTGTGCAGGGTGACAGCCAACTCCCAACAAGATTTAAATGAGCTTTTCTCATTTATCAAGGAGTGAGAGTAGGATGAAAAAAGACTGGGGTCACGCTGACATTCGCATGGGGATGATTGGTGGTTTTCCTGCACAACAACACCATCACTCAAACTGAGCAGCGGTTTTCATTGCAAAGACTAAATGATGTCCACAATGCATTTTATTTCATGGGCAAAGTCGTGGAAAGAAGGAACAAGGGCTTAATTGAATGTTGAACAGTCCTCATTTTTCACTGACAATCTAAAAGCCCTGCTTGTTGGCATTTTCCTGATTGTCATAGAACATTATCACCTTTCTGTTTTAGTCTTTACATGTTTTTTTGTGGATGTGAAAATGAAACTCTTCTACATGTATGTCTACAGTTCACCTAGACTTTCTGTGGATCTGCCAGATATGAAGTGTTGATGTTGGTTTTGTCATTCAAACCTAAGCTGTTCTGTTTCCTTTTCATTTCCTCTCTTCAGCTCCATTCGGATGTAGACAAAGGGGATGGTAACATCAAGTACATCCTGTCCGGTGAAGGTGCAGGAACAATATTTGTGATTGACGACAAAACGGGCAACATCCACGCCACGAAAACCCTGGACCGTGAGGAGCAGGCCCAGTACACTTTAACAGCCCAGGCTGTGGCAAGAGACACACATGAACCTCTGGAGCCTCCATCAGAGTTTATAGTGAAAGTCCAAGACATCAACGATAATCCACCAGAGTTCCTGCATAGTCCATACCACGCCAGGGTGCCCGAGATGTCCAACGTTGGTGAGTGATAAAAGAAGAGTTCTGGAAACAGTGGCTGGTTCGGTGATTATGAAAACTAATTAAATGCCTGAATGCCTCAACATGCTCCTTCTGACCTGACAAAATTGTCTCTCATTAGTCGTGTTTCCATCAACATTTTTATGCACATTTTGAAGTATCGCATTAGAAAAGTTAAATGGAAAGAGCAAAACTCAAAAAAAATTCCTTAATTTTGCAAAAAAGTTTTTATGCTTGCTTGAGGTGTATTTTTGGATTTTCTGATAAAGAATGAATGCGCAAAAAGGGAGATGCCAAATAAGTTCTGACAGTAAAAATTCATCTCACATGACTGATCAGCTGTTCCCACTGTCAACGGCTTCCCAGATATTGTGATAAAGGTGATCAGCTTGGACTTTGGAGCTGTCACTGCACTTAAACAACATGAACTCTTTCTTTTGTTGATCAAACGGAAAAAAATTCAGTGACTTCCATGCTCTGACTTCCACAATACATTCCAGAAGTTGTTTCACAGAAAATTGTCTTTCCTGTTTCAGTGGGACATAAATACGGGTGTCATCAGCATAATAATAGAAGGAGGCACCATGTTTCTGGAGAATAGATCCTAGTGGGAGTAAATAAATGGAAAACTGAAGAGGGCCAAGCAGAGAGCCCTGAGGTACGCCACACGTGAGTGGTGCTACAGAGGACTCAACTACTCCGACAGAATAATGACAGAATAATTACAAGTTTCCTGATGGCAACACATTCCTAAAAACTTCTCTACACCATCCTGAGATGTGTGGTCCATGCTAGTTTGCAACCTTTTCTTTCTGTTTATTACAGCCATATGTCAACATCTGACATAATACACTTTGTGTAGTCTGGTCGATTCGCTCCAAAACCAGAGTAGATGGAAGCACACGTAATACGAATTCCTTTCTGTCTTTCTTTCTTTCTTTCTTTTTTCTCTTCTCTTTGGCACAAAATTTGCATAACAATTGGATGGGAACATGGCTATTGTCACAGTTGCATGACAAAATTTACACAAATTTGTTCTCAGCTTCGAGTTTTTCACCTCATCTCAAACTGCTGGGAGAACTTTCGATTGATTGATTGATTGATTGATTGATTGATTGATTGATTGATTGATTGATTGATTGATTGATTGATTGATTGATTGATTGATTGATTGATTGAT